CAAAGCATGGCAGCGTATGGTCCCGGTGTTCGCTGGCATGCAGACAACATCCATTCCTTATCTCTCTTTGTTATCCTCAGGAGAGTGATATCATTCACAGTCACCTGGTTGAAATGGGGTGATTTTATTAAGGGGACATTCAGAGGTGCCCGTTCCTGCTCGGCTGAACAGAAATGTTCCCCGCTGTTAGCCACGCGGTGGGGGGGAGGGGTGAAGTGATCATCCCAGAGAATTGGGTGTGTGTGGGAGGGGGGGTAGTTGAGTTTGTGCTGCATGTTAACCCGGAAACCCCAGCCCCTCCTTTTACATTGCAAACCCATTTTAAATGGCCAACCCAATGGGTCCTTGGAATGGGAAATGAGGGTGCTGCTGTTTGAAACCATTCCCACATGTTATGAAGGTTAAAAAAGCCAAAAGACTGTGGCTTACCATGGCTGCCTGCAAGCCGAATTCTGTTGCCTGGCACTGCGTGAGTGATCTCTCACACCAAACCAGCAGGCCCTCAATATAAGAGGAAAAATGGGACCTTGTAACGAAAGCACGTGTGCTGTGTAATGTGAACAGCAAAATTTAACATGAAAGAGTATACCCATTGTTCTCTAAAATGTGTCTTTTTTAACCACCTCTCCCTTCTCCTCCACCAGCTGCAAATGTTTCTCCTTCACAGAGGCTAACGAAGATTAAAAGGAGAAAATGGCTGACTCGGGATGATATGTTCACGGAGCTCCAGATGTCCTCCCATGCTGAAAGAGCACAGCAGAATGTGTGGAGGCAGTCAATGTCAGAGTGCAAAAAAGCACAATATGAATGAGAGGAGAGATGGCGGGCTGAATCGCAGGCTGAACAGAGCAAGTGGTGGGCTGAAGATGATAGGTGGTGTCAGCTTGCAGACAGAAGGCAAGAGTCGATGCTCCGGCTGCTGGAGCATCAAACTGATATGCTCCAGCATATGGTTGAGCTGCAGGAAAGGCAGCAGGAGCAGAGAGGGGCCGCTACAGCCCCTGTGTAACCAACAGCCCTCCTCCCAAAGTCCCATTGCCTCCTCACCCAGACGCCCAAGAACAAGGTGGGGGGGCCTCCGGCCACTCAGTCACTCCACCCCAGATGATTGCCCAAGCATCGGAAGGCTGGCCTTCAATAAGTGTTAAAGTTTTAAAGTTTTAAACTGCAGTGTGTCCTTTAACTTCGCTCCTCCCCCACCCATCCCGGGCTACCTTGGCAATTATCCCCCTAGTTGTGTGATGAATTAATAAAAGAATGGATGAATGAGAAGTAACAATGACTTTATTACCTCTGCAAGCGGTGCTCGAAAGGGGGGAGGGGTGGGTGGGTGGTTGGTTTACAGGGAAGTAAAGTGAACTGGGGGGGTCGGAGGGTTCATCAAGGAGAAACAAACAGAAGTTTCACACTGTAGCCTGGCCAGTCACAAAACTCATTTTCAAAGCTTCTCTGATGCGCCCCGTGCCCTGCTGTACTCTTCTAACTGCCCTGGTGTCTGGCTGCACGTAATCAGTGGCCAGGCGATTTGCCTCAACCTCCCACCCCACCATAAATGTCTCCCCCTTACTCTCACAGATATTGTGGAGCGCACAGCAAGCAGCAATAACAATGGGGATATTGGTTTCGCTGAGGTCTATCCGAGTCAGTAAGCTGCACCAGCGCGCTTTTAAACGTCCAAATGCACATTCCACCACCATTCGGCACTTGCTCAGCCTATAGTTGAACAGGTCCTGACTACTGTCCAGGCTGCCTGTGTACGTCTTCATGAGCCACGGCATTAAGGGGTAGGCTGGGTCCTCAAGGATAACAATAGGCATTTCAACATCCCCAATGGTTATTTTCTGGTCCGGGAAGAAAGTCCCTTCCTCCAGCTTCCAAAACAGACCAGAGTGCCTGAAATCGCGAGCATCATGTACCTTTCTCGGCCATCCCACATTGATGTTGGTGAAATGTCCCTTGTGATCCACCAGGGCTTGCAGCAGCATTGAAAAGTACCCCTTGTGATTTATGTACTCGGTGGCTTGGTGCTCCGGTGACAAGATAGGGATATGAGTTCCGTCTATCGCCGCACCATAGTTTGGAAATCCCATTGCAGCAAAGCCATCCACTATGACCTGCACGTTT